TTTATGAACCATCTCTCTCTTGTGTAGATACAATCTAAGGGAACATCCCAAGTTCCGAAGTAATTACTTTTAGAAAGAAGCATTCTTGGCTATTTTTGCAGTGATTCCCATATGGCTCTCTAGCTAATCAAGTCTTGGGGTGGACTTCAAGTCGTGGATGGTTTTGCGACTTATTACTTTACGTGATCCATTTTCTTTTTTTCGCACACTTGGTGGTTGTGAGCTATACAGAATCAAATGATTTAATGACTTTCTGAGAATGCTTTATTTCATACTCTTTCTTGAGTTGGTGTGAAATACAATGCGTCATCTTTTTTTTTGGTTTGTATTCGATTTCCATTAGTTGATTTATAATTAGCCATTCATTGGTTAGAGTGGCTTTTCCATATTATATTGAAATATAATTATTTTTGTATTCGGATGAAGTTGACATTAATTTCTTTTGATGCTATGCAGGGCTCTCCCAGGCTTTTTGTACGAAGGATTTTGTTCAAAATTTTGCACCATTTTAGAATTTTGTAATTTTTTGTCTGATATTTTAGGATTTTGTAATTTTTATGCACCATTTTAGAATTTGTAGATTTTACACTCCTTTGCAACATTTTATGAGGCACATTGGATTAGTGGAAGATCATTTTGGTGTGATGAAATAGAGGTGCTGTTTTCGTTACTTTTTCATAATCTCCGATGTAATGAGACTTCACCTTTTCTTATACAAGAGACTTTTGACTCTTGACTATATTAAGAGACTCTAAACTTTCTAGTTTAAAGAGATGTTTACCTTTTATAAAACAAAATGGGACTTTTACCTCGCTGATGAAAGACACCTTTACCTCTGTTGTGTCAGAATAAGACTTTTAACTCTCTGATGAAAGAAGGACTCTTTTTACCTGGCAGGTCATAATGTTTTTGTAGTCTGTGAATTATCATCCTGTATTTATGGACATCTTTGTTTTTTCAAAACAAGATATATGGGCTTCATGTATCAAGTACAAGAACATTTTTAACAGACCTGTGCAATGTTTGGGGTGCAAGTCGTGCTGTTGTTTCGTGTTTAGACTGTGCATGTTAGTTTTAACCAGTTTTGATGTTAATTTTTTGTTACTGAAGCATATTGATACTTGTTTGAAACAATTCGTGATTGTGTTAGTATGCAATTGTTAGAAAATGACATCATGCTACAAATAAATACATGAGCTTCACTGAGTCAAATATGATGATGCCATCCTTCTGCAAAGGACTATTTATGCTTAAATTTACCCTGCGTGCAGAGTCTAGTTAAACTACACTCTGCCTAGTAGAGACCATATTACAGTTTAGTAGCCCCGCCCCCACGACGGGTACTGGTGACAGTTTGGGTAAATCACTCTTGAGCTACGCGCTGACCTTCCACCAATCAGCGAGCTTGAAGAAACATACGCCAAATGCGTTCTAATTAAATATGTGCATGTCATTGGTCGATTCCGGGCTCAACGATGACGTCAGAAGGAATGACCATATAAAAAACGTCGGTCAAATTTGGCCGACGGACACTGATTGGCGCGGTGAGTTCACAGGTTTATTTTAGTTTGAAAGAGTGAAGACGAAGCTTTCTTTTAGAAGTGAAGTCAAACGAATGCAAAGGGTAGCTTAAATTCATATATACTTGTAAAATACCCTTTCAGCAAGGGTGTGATGATGCCATGGTCTATCCTTTTGTATGTAGTGTAATTAGTACCCCCCCCTCCCCCAGGAGTGCCCCTGGTTCATAGAAGGTCACTGTTTCAACATTTGAGGTTTCACTGTAGCTCAATTATCTGGTCTTAATGTTACAGTATGAACACATTACAACATGGAGGTGTTGATCCTATATATTTAGTAAACTGCAGCCAGAATCTAATTGATTAAAGATGGTGACAGACCACTGTATGATCTTCACAGATGAGTATATCAACCCAAGAGAAAAATGTTTACAAGAATCTCCAAATCGGGTTTAAATTGTAAATAAAGAAAGCATACATGTAGTCAGTTCTTTAGGAGTCCTATATAAATGTAAGAAGATTAGGTTGTCTGTTTATGTCTACTGAGAAAGGTAATAGCAGATAGGTTCTTCTGTTTTATCCATTCTGCAATTGGGTCTGTTTTACCCTCTCTGATTGTTTGTTCCCTTAAAAGTAGTTAAAAGAGAGCTTCATCTGCAGAGTTATAGTACAAGGCTCTGTGTACATTCAGGATAATTCTATTTGCAATCAGCGAGGTGGTCTTGCTCAAAACTTTATGTACCCCTTCCCACATATTCCATATACATAAAGTAAGGAAAACATAGTAGGGGGTATGGGGTGTTGCAGATATCTGATTTAAGGATAGATCAACGTGAGAAAATAAAGATTTGCAAAACTTTCTTAAGCTCATTTTCTTATCATGAATCATATTACAATGACAATGCAAAATATACCTAACCTAAATATATCCAGAAATAATCTCCTTTCTGAAAGTTGAGTAAGAAATTATACTCTCTTATACTTTTCATTGGTGTATTTCTATATACAAGTTTGGGGTTGAAAAGTAAGATTAGATTTCTTGTTAAACAAATTCTCATGAACAGTTTGACCTTGCTGGCTTTTGGCTCCTTTTAATGTTTGTAGAATTGAATATTACTGTTTGGTTAGGAGTAAATAAAATATTACCCGAAAGAAATACTATCTACTTTATCTGCGTTTAAATCAGATAATTATTGACTTCAGTACTTTAGTTTTGAAAAGAAAAAAATAATTCAAAAAGAAAATTATTTGAATGGAGGTAATATGTATAATTGCAATAAAAAGTTAAGCATTATTGAGACTCACATTTCAACATGAATAAAATCACATAAAACTAGTATAAAACACTGAATTTTTTTCTCTAATGCAAATAATTCATAGATACAGTGAAATGTTTATTCAGCAGACACTTTTAGTTACAAGCGAATGTGTTTAATCATGGGCTTTCAAGAGACTGAGTCTTGCATCAAATCTCTGAACCCTCCTCCTTTTCTTGGGCATATGGCTTATACTGTTAAACCAGTGTATTCCTTCAGTCACATGTCATACCTTGATGGATCATGATAGGGGTTCGGGGGGGGGCTTGAAACAAGACTATTTGTTCTCTCTAACCTTGGTGAATATTCTAGCTAATTATACGCAAACAGGTACCAACTACCAATAGTGTCCATCTTTGCCAACCCTAAAGTGTGGTATTCGCAATAGGGAGTGATTGACTCATATTGGTCAATAGAGTAACATTAACATTACACTGGCAACTAGACTGTACTTGTACCACAATATTCAGAACAGTGCTGTTAGAATAGCACTGTACAGCACAGTTCTCGGACTGCACTTTTCAGTACTGTTTACAGCACCATACAGTGCTGCAATATAAGATGATATTGTGGATTGAGGGCATAATTGTACAAAAGTAAAAGTGTTCATGTATATGTTACATATAGACAGTATATATAAACATTTAGACAGTATCTAAGATACTGTCTAAATGAACAGAAATTTTTGTTTGAGAAAAAAATGTTCATGATTATACATGCTCTTTGAGTAGGTTTGCATTGTAATCCTTGTTGCCCTTCACAAACTCTTATGAAATGTTATTTTTGGTTGATATAATTAAATTGGATTACAATCTAATCCCATAGCCTGCCGTATAAACATGTTAAAACTGTATTACATCTGTACTATAGAATTCAGAGTCATGATAATATTTGTGTCTGGAGGGATTTACTGTGCACAATACTTGATGTAGAACTCTGTGTTGTTATGTCATAGGATTTTAGATTATTTACCTGCTCCATCTAGGTTGCCACCACAAATAAGAACTGGTTCTGCAATGTGATATATGATTTTCACCTGAAAAATAAGCATTTTTTGGATTCCTCGGTGGTTTGCTGAGAGTTATTCAAAACTGTACCTTACTACTATTGTGGTACTCAGTTGCTTGGCATCGTGACATCGTAAAAGTGTGTCCCTCCTTCTCCGCAGTCTATTTCTTGCTTATTAAATATAGAAAAGGAAGTTGATATAGGGGAATATGCAGGTACGTAGCTAGCTTTTGTCAAGGGGGGTTCAGTTCACCTTTGACAATCTTTGCCAAAAATCACTTCAAAAGTGCTCAGAATAGTTAAAAGAACTCATGGTTTTGAAAGAATTTGGCTAAAGTGGGTTTGCTTGCATACCCTGAAACCCCCCCCCCCCACCCCCTGTGACTTAGGAATTGATGCAAGACTACAGATTCTATCTGAAAATCAGTAATAATACTGCACAGGGGTCTATTGAGACAGAAATTACAAGTTAGTCATGCAATTAAGTGCAACTTTGACATAACTTTATTTATGCACTAACTAAGTTATTCTATTTAACCGAAATACAGGCATTAAGCTTTGATACTAAACACGTGTGCGAGCCTTGGGAGCCTCTCAAGCGTGAAAACACCCTTACCTGGTGTTAAACCTAAAATTACAGCTAATATCCTGAATCGGTTAAAGGTGGGGTCTGAATACCCGCCCCACCTGCGATACCTAAAGGTGCCCGTCCGGGTACCTGAGACCTGAAAAAAGGTAAAAAGAGGGAGGAAGAACAGGGGAGGAGGAGGGAAAATAAAATCACTCTTACCTCTAAATTTATGCTGAAAAGCGATGAAAATAATGGAAAACTTGCTTCTAATAAATCAGTCAGGATCAAGCAGAAGAATGGCGGAAAATCTGAGGTGACGCTATCTGTGATTGGCTGAAGCTGGTCACGTGACTTCTTACGTATGCAACACCTCGTAATCTTATTGGAGGAGAATGATGTCATCCTAACTTGGGAAAGCTGAACAAGGTGGAAGCACAAGAGGTAACTCCCCAGAAACACACACAAGAGAGACTCCCTTAGCTGTTCATAAATACAATTATTTTGCTCATAATTGTGGTTTTATGCACTAACTAAGTTATTCTATTTAACCGAAATACAGGCATTAAGCTTTGATACTAAACACGTGTGCGAGCCTTGGGAGCCTCTCAAGCGTGAAAACACCCTTACCTGGTGTTAAACCTAAAATTACAGCTAATATCCTGAATCGGTTAAAGGTGGGGTCTGAATACCCGCCACAACAAAGAACTGTACTTATCCCAATTTTCCAACCCGCCAGTTACTTTGTGGCCCCACCAACTTAGTAAGTGTAAAACAAATAAATCAAGAAAATTTGAGTTTCTAAAATGTATTAGTACGTAAAGAATAACAACTACAACAAGTCAATCCCATGTAAATATCTTAATTTTCAGAAGACTTTATAAATTGACATAAACATTTTCTTGAGACTGATGAAATGACTAAATATAGTAATACTTGACTATCCTTATTATATAAAGAATAGAGTGACCAGTTGTGGTTCAAATACAAAATAAACCCCACTACGTATAAAAAGTCCTGTTGTATAACTTTCTTTGAGCTAACAATATATATGAAGTTTGATAATAAAATATACTATCACAATGATTGGTGCCTCAGCATAAAATGAGCTGTCTGGCTTACATCTAATATTGCTTGAATGTGTAAACTAGTTATTAGCGTATATACAGTTTGAAAGTGTCCGACTTCCACCTCCCTAAATCCCTTATTTGTGAGTCTGATAATCCCCTTGCTGCCGCGTATGTGGCACCCCCTATACGGAAACTATGACTTTTGAATCGAGTGGGATCAAAATTACCAGCACGTAGCACGAAGTTGAGGTGGTCAGTAAAATGTGACCTTTTCACTGGAGATCCATTCTCAAGTAAAAAGAGTTGATTGTGACCCATACCTTGTCGGACCTTTAGATAAGATTCTAAGTGTTGAACTGGACATACATCGGATTGTTGCGGGTTTAAAGCTATTTTGTGAATTTTGTTAGGCTTCGCATGTTTGAAAGAGTCGAGTATGACATGATATGTATTTTGAGATCTAGAAACATTTTGTATGGATATTGCATGATTTGATTTATAAGCCCAAGTGATTTCACTAACCCTCAAAAGACCGAAAAAAGCAGTAGTAAACATAGCATTGAAGAGTTTCAGGTGAAAGTCGGACAAATTCATTGAAGAGTTGATGCTTATCAGCTTTTGTAAAATTGATAAGGAGATCGGAAGGCGAGAATCACAAGATGGGTTAAGTTTTCCTAATCCAATTAAAGTTTGCCTTACCAAATAAGTATTGGTTGGGTCCATATACCCTCCTAACTTAAAATGGTAGCTCAAAGCTGAGATGAAAGTTCTTATAGATGATGGTTTGTAAGATTTGGCTAAATATTGACAAAATAGAGCGACTGTAGTTGGGTCACATGTATCCAAATGAAATCCCGTATCATATTGGAAAGTGTTCCACAATTCCAACACCCTCGCATAAGTTTGCTTCGTACTTGGAGCCAAAGCTGCGTCAATTGTTTTGTTTAGCTCTGCAGCCAGTTGCTGAGTGTCCAGCTCTTGGGCAGGACCACGGGTGCACTCTCTGCCTCTGGTGCCGCCTTTCTGAAACCCTGTAAATTGAATCGAGAAAGGTGGTCAGCTGCAATGTTCAATTTCCCCGGGATGTGTTCACAACGAAAAGAAATGTTATTTTGTAGTGCACATAAAGTGAACTTTCTTAACAGAACCATAATATCCTTGTCCTTCGATGAAGATTTGTTAATAATGTAGGAAATAGCCTCATTGTCACAGAAAATAGTAATATTTTTGTTTTTCAATTGATCAGCCCAAAGGTGAAAAGCAACTACTATGGGGAAGAGTTCAAGCAATGCTATATTTAAATTGGATTCTTGTTCATCCCATGAGCCATTGAACCATTGGTTGTCAAATATGGCCCCGAATCCCAAAGTCCCTGATGCATCCGAGAATAACGATATCCCATCATCCTGTTCCCATGAGTTATGAAAAAACCCTTTGCCATTAAAGTTATCAAGAAAGACCTTCCACGTCAATAAGTCCGCTCTAGCTTCGCAATTCAAGCGAATTTTAAACTGAGGCCGAGAAACCCCGATTGTTAAATTGATGAGACGACGCAAAAAGGCTCTACCAGCCGGAATGACATAACAACAAAAATTTAGGAGGCCGATGATACTTTGAAGATCTCTCAGCGAAACTTTTTTGCATCTATACAGTTGATCAATCAAATTTTTTGCCTTGTCCAGTTTATCAATTGGTAACCTAGCTTCCTGTTGAATTGAATCCAATTCAATTCCCGCAAATGACATGACAGTATCTGGGCCTAGTGTTTTTTCCTTCGATATGGGGACACCAATTGTTTCGCACAAACTTACAAAACTGTTCAGATCCTCCTCACATTTGTCCTTGTCAATATTTACTATAAAGAAATCGTCCAAGATATGAACCACTTTAGGAATATTCAACACGTTTTTTGCAGTCCATTCCAGAGCCGTACTTAAGGTCTCAAAAAGTTGGCATGAATGTCTCAGTCCCATAGGAAGTCTTGTGTCAAAGTAAAACTTGTTTTCTAAAGACATCCCTAACAAAAAGTGAAAGTCCTTGTGAATTGGGACAATTCTGAATGCACTTTCTATGTCTGTCTTACTCATGAAGGCTGACGGACCTGCATCCCGAACTAGCTCGATAGCTTCATCAACTGAACCATATTTGACTGTTGCATATTTTTCGTCAATACCGTCATTTACCGAAAAACCTTCTGGGTGAGACAGATGATGAATGAAGCGAAACTTTCCCACCGTTTTCTTCGGAACTACCCCTATGGGGGAAATTACCAAGTTCCTAAAGGGTGGGCTTGTGAAAGGACCTGCAATGTGACCAAGATCGATTTCGGATTGTAATTTGTTATGAAGAGCTTCAGGGTTGTCTTTTGGGATTGCTAGATTTTTACTTGAAGAACAAGGGAGATCCCCAAAGTAGGGAATGGCAAAACCGTTGGAGAAACCTTCAAATAGGAAATTACGAATGTCTGTATCGTAGCCTTCAAGAATATCGAAAAGGACTAAAGGATTCACTGGAGTGTCTTGTACAAAACAGTCGGGATAAGGCGAAATTTTATTTTCGTCGATAAAAGTTTTTATTGGATTTGATGTCATGTCAATTTCGTTTGAAAGGCTGGGTCTTGTTTTTCCTTTTGTTGTCAAACTTGCTACGATTTCCCCATCCATTTTCCTCTTTCTTATTGTTGCAATCTGTAACCCTGTGGTCGCCCTTGCAGCTTGAGCAAATGTGGGATCTTGGGCATGTAGAGTGAGGACAGAACTTCCCTGAATTCCATTGATTGCAAATGGCACGAAAAGAATTGTTCTTTCCATTCTGACCTTTGCCATTGGGTTTCCACTTCCCTTGAACTTGTCTAGGCACTCTGTGTACCCATGTCGCCTCAAGCATGAAATCGTTATACCATGTATGCCATTGAAGTCCATGTTTCTTATTCTCCCTGAATCTTTCGTCATAGTATCTCCAGTTGCTCTCGGGATTATTAGAGAGCTCCCTAATCTTGTCACCATATTTAATCAAGTTTGCGGCCTCGTGACTATGTTGTCTTATGTAAGTTGTACAGAAGATATTGAAGGCCTGTTGCCATTCTTTATAAGAGAGATCTTGATCATCTTTCTCTGGCGCTATGATGAGCATAGACTCGCCGTCATCTTGTTGTTTCTGTTCGAATTGAAAAGCTGGCTTCTTTTTCTTTTTCTTGACTGAGGCTGGCAATAAGGTTTTGAAATCTATATATTCTTCACTAATGATCTTTTGTTTAGTTGCCTCATTAAGGTGAGAATCTAATGGTGCAGACCATGAGAACTGGGAAGGATTACCCATACCTGTCAGAATGCGTGGTCCAATCGGGATGCCATTGTATAGTGTGTTCTGAAGACCTGTGGCTCCTGAATTAGGGACCTGAACTAAAGTACCCTGAGTTGAACCATTTGTATTGAGCTGGTTGATCGGGAAATGTCCCCTTTGCGTATTAACGGGACCAATGCCAGGTTGTATGAACTGGTTGTGAGACATCTGCGGGATAGGGTTTGCCTGAGGGCCCATGTACCCTAATTGGCTCTGTTGTACTGGCATCCCTTGATAAACCCCCCCGTTATTAGGGATATTGTGGGTTCCAGATGACATGTGATGGTTGTTATTAACTGGCGTTCCATTGTTGTAAGCTGTTTGCGACTGAGATGGCATTGACTGTAATGTGTTGTTAGGGCCCATGTTCCCTGATATAACATTCTGAGAAGGATGTTTATTCTGGCTGGCATTTTGAGTAACATTGGTATTGCTTGCTTGACTTAGCAACCTATCGATTTGATACTCAAACTGGTTTTGTCCTTTTTGGCTTTGTACCTCCGGGTTAAGAGGGTAATTCTGTTGAAAACCCATATTTGGAGTTTGAATGATCTCTTGAGAGATACTTGAAGTTGCTTGATTCATCATAGGAGGGCCCATGTACCCCGATTGAATGTTATGTCGGTTGGAATCACTGTTTAGCTGTCCCGAAACAGCTGTCGGAGCGGTTTGTAGATTATTTGGCAAAGGGCCCATGTACCCCAATGTACCATTTTGTTGATTTACTCCACCTGTTTGTGAATCCCCTTCATTACTACTATTCTGAGGGCCCATGTTCCCTGATAAACCAGATTGTTGACTATGGTTTGTATTATTCGGCAAACTGGGCCGAGTGTCATTAGAAAGACCTGCCGCATTAAGTGGTGACCTCGAAACTATTGTATTTGCATCAAGGTTTAGAAGATTAGTATAGCTACCTGTCACACCCTGGTTGTCGATCATTGTCAGTGCTTCTCTGATAGGAGGTATTCCCGGTGGGCCTCCTCCTGAAGCCATGCTGAGTCAGTACTAAAACGAAAAACAATTACAAAATGACTCCCAATTAGCAGAGATTAAAGCCCTGCCAGCTTGTTATACTCACCCTTTTCGTTTTAATACTGACAATATGCTATATGTAAAGTGCCATAACAACATATATATTACAAATGCAGATAATGAATACTGGCCATAGAATGTAAATGCCATTTAAAAGTAAAAGAATAAAGATATATAAGTCTATTTATGGAATGTAATTGATGTATCGAATGTTGTATGGTAAATATAGAAGTGATCCTCACTAATATTAAATGTGAGTGAAAAACAACTAATAGACTTTTAATTTGCCGTCGGGCATTTAAATAGGACAACTTTTGAATAGAAAAAGTTAAAGATGACTGTATATGAAGGGCACAGCCATAACATAAACGTCAGCATAAGAACATTAAAGGGCAAAGCCATAGATAACTGCATATGATGGGCAAAGCCAAAGAATCATACCTCACTACATAAGTATGTGCATGAATGGACAAATCCATGAGATTAAACATTGTTTTAATGACCAGGGCAGGCCAAGCCACAGGTAAATGCATATTAAGGGCAAAGCTATAGAATTGTACCTCTGTATTAGTACATGAATGGACAAAGCCATAGGATTCAACATTGTCTTGATGACCAGAGCAGGCAAAGTCATGGGTAAATGCATATTAAGGGCAAAGCCATAGAATTGTACATCGATATTAGTACATGAATGGACAAAGCCATAGGATTCAACATTGTCTTGATGACCAGAGCAGGCAAAGCCATAGGTAAATGCATATTAAGGGCAAAGCCATAGGATTGTACATCGATATTAGTACATGAATGGACAAAGCCATAGGATTGAAAATTGTCTTAGTGGCGAGAGCAGACAAAAACATAGGTAAATTCATATTAAAGGGCAAAGCCATAGAATTATAAAAGCATTAAAAGACAAAGCCCAAGATTCAATTTGTTTAATGACAAAGCAGGCAAAGCTATAGATAATTGTAAATGCCATACCAAGCCATAGCAACATATGTTAATATTAGTACATAAATGGGCCAAGCCAAAAATAATTATATATCAGATTCATGTTGAAAAACCCTCATAATAAAAATGCCATCAAATATATGAATGTGCAGAAAAATAATTAAAGCAAGTCAGTTCGAGTTGATAAATAGACAAAGCCATCGAAGTGCCGAATAAAATGCGGAGACAAAGCTTTTGATAATACTCAAAATTGCTTGTAATTGACATGCCATAAAGGTATAGAACATTGACTCAAATGTAACCAGCACAAATGCCTCTAAAATAAAAATACCCAAACTAAAATGACACGAACCAAAAAACTACGAGAACACAGATTCTATCATTGTGTAAAGCATAGTCAATTCCTGTTAACAAATGAGCATCTTGATGATTATCTATGCAACTAATGTTAATAATATATAAGAAACTGTTATAATGTGATTACAGCTAAAAACAACTCATGCATAATTGTTATTGAGCCTAAGTGTTAGCTAACATAAGAAAAAGCAAGATCTTAACAATGTTATAGTTATCTACACTTACATTTCTTCCCTTGAATGACAGCCCCTCTGAGTGAAGAGCTGAATTTTTGTAGTCCCCAGGAAGACAGGTGAGTACCATCGTGACCAACCATTTCTTTCCAGTTCTCCTTCATACCCTGATGTTTCCATACTAAGACATAATCGAAGTCAGCATAAAAAGTTCTAAGCATCGTGTTGAACTTTTTTATTTTCTTGTTGTACACCTCACAGTCTTCTTGACAAGTAAACCTACAGTTCTTGTCATTTGAAAAATCTCTGTAAAACAGTTCACCAATCACCACTTTACAGTCCCTGTTCGCCCTGCGGACTATGCTCACAAGGTCATGAAGTCCTTGAAGTGCATATATCACATCGTATTGGTTGTTGTGATGAGAGAGATCATTCTCTCCAATTTGAAAGACAACTACATCATATGGTTTCCAAACCTCTGAACTGAGCACACTGAGATTCTTGGGGGATTTGTTGTCAACCTTGGCACCACCATGACCTACGTCATAAACATAATCTGTGTCTCGCAAGTCCAGATCCTGATGCTGAGATTCTGACAATCTTGAGATAAAGCTGTGACCTGTCAACAATACAGATGGTCTAGCCATGATGACGATTCTCAAACCAACCTATAAGAAAATGTATGAAAGAATGGGCTAACTACATGACTAGCTAAAAAAAAATTGATCCTTACAATAAACTGCATGCATTGAATTAGGCTAAACTATGAATGTACTTGTTAGCTATCTTAAAATCATGCTGTAAGGCTAGAAATGAACCTTGTAGGTCTAAAACAAACAAGGTATAATATTACGATGAAGTGGAGTTACTAAACATATAACCCGATGACTTCGACTGTATTATTCAATGTTCTTTGTTTACCGCCAAAACACATAAATATATTATCGCCCACTTACGATGTCTGGAAATCTGCCTCTAACTTGACAGATCTAACAAATGGGGACTATTAAACGGGTTCCATACTTGCCACGACCCTTCATGTGAACTTAGAAACAGCCTCAAGTAATATGAAATCCCATAAATCAAGGAACTTAGAAAAATTCAGCAAGATTCAACATCGCTAAAATCATCGTGTCCAGCACAAAGGAATTCGATCCTTTCACAGGTAATAAATGACTAAGTAAGACGTCTTGTGTGAAAATAATCACACAAAAAACACCTGTGATAATAAACACAAAAATAAAATCACTCTTACCTCTAAATTTATGCTGAAAAGCGATGAAAATAATGGAAAACTTGCTTCTAATAAATCAGTCAGGATCAAGCAGAAGAATGGCGGAAAATCTGAGGTGACGCTATCTGTGATTGGCTGAAGCTGGTCACGTGACTTCTTACGTATGCAACACCTCGTAATCTTATTGGAGGAGAATGATGTCATCCTAACTTGGGAAAGCTGAACAAGGTGGAAGCACAAGAGGTAACTCCCCAGAAACACACACAAGAGAGACTCCCTTAGCTGTTCATAAATACAATTATTTTGCTCATAATTGTGGTTTGATTATGATTTGCTACCAGACAATTTCTATCAATTTTACCAGCTTAGTGTGTGCCATTTGGGGGAGTTAATCATAGGAAATGGGTTGATTATTATGACCTCATAGGGCAAAACATTAGATATCATAAGACAATTGATGTATATATTGATTTGGTACCCCAATCAAAATCTAATTTAGGCAAACATAATACTGGTATCTGCAGATCATTTTGTGTGTATACTAATTGAAGCATTTGTAGAGAATTAGATAATTGCGTATTAAGTCATATTATGTTAATAATAGAATAGGGAGCACCAGGAATATATTAGGAAATGAATCGTGATAGTTGCCTGTTCATTGTCACATGGGTGTTCTGTTTGATGTTTTGTCTTTTGACTTCTATATCTGTCTTCGTTGATCCTATGGCCTCTTGCTCACAGCTAAGTACCTCTGCAACTTCAATATTTCTCTCATTGGGGATTCGTAGAATACTATATGAATATGGTATATAGTTGTCTCTTTATTGCACTTTCAAATAGTGCTCTATTTAAGTTACCTATTATTGAAATCTCAAGTAGGTGCAGCGCCCACTTGCTACAGTGCTTGAGCTTGCCTGGGAAACCCCTGATCTGCACCCCTAGGAATATAATGTTTGGCATTCATAATACACAGGGAGTTGCTGTGACATGTTTCACTGTAATGTGCTTGTATGTTTGTGAAGGGCATGGTTTATATTGACAAGCCATTAAATGAGGAAGTACTTTAAAAAACATTCACTTTATCATTATGTATAGTACACAGTAGTGCAAGCCTTTAGTTTGGAACAATCTAGTGCACAGCCTGTAGTTTAAGGCAGTCTTGCGCACAGCCCTGTTGAAGCATTTTAATTAGTAATTGGGTCAGGTAATTCAATGTTTAATTCAACTCAGGCATTGTTAGTTGTGCATTAGAAGATAAATCTAGTGAAATAATTTTTCAAAATGTTGTTGATATATATTGCTTCTAAGTTAACAAGGCAATTTTCTAAGAAAAAATTGACATGACCACTCTATATTTTGCATTTTCATTAAAGGCGGGAAATTTCAGATTGAACTTGATTTTACGAGTTTTGGTTTTCTATTATTAGATTATAGGGTATTATAACAATGGTTGATTCATTAGACAGGTATATACAGTGATCATATTTAAAGATGTCATTTTAAAAGCAAAAAAGGCTCCAAAACGTAATAAAATATGTAGTTTGGATGTTCATTTATGTCTGTGGATTATATTTTATACCACAAACACTTATAAATACCTGAAATTTGCAATAAAAGTGCCCAAAAATTGTTGTTTCGAAATTCCCCATTTTTCCTGTATCGCGCTAGTCACGTGACCCTTACGCGTAGCAGGCAATGCCTAGTATTACAGATATTACAGTACATATTTCAACATGTTCAATATGGCAAACATCAGCGATTCTGACTTCCGGGTTCTGGGAAATGGCTATATATAAATCGGCGAGAGGGTGTTATTTAAGGAGGACAATTTAAGGAGGGGAAATATGTCCAAGTATGCCAGTAAAAGAGCAGATATGGACTTTAGACAAGTACTATGACGGAGAATCAACTAAAAAAATGTGCGTTCTGGAATGAAGACCCGTTGCCATTGACTGAGAATCCCAGCGATCCTATAATCCTACTCAGTTTGAATTTAGACGCGGAAAACAGGATATGAAAACGGGCTCTCTGCAAAGTTATCAAATTTAGAAAATATGGATCTTGTTTTTGAGTGGCTTAACAAGCATTCGGATACAAGACTTGGCGCTATCTCTTGTCAAATACGCGCAGACTTGCAGTAAATTGGCCATTGCAAATTGCAAAATCAGATCGTCAAATTAATCGCTTCGTTTTTAAACGTATGCTTCATATCTTCATCCAAAACTTTAGGATTCGATAGAGATAAGTTAAAACTTGTACAGGAAGAAATGGGAGATCCTACCTTAATTTAGAATCGCTGATTTCTGTGGACAAATTCCGAGAAGAAATTGTTCAACATCGCGATCAGCTCAGACTAAACTTACATGTCGTGCATGTCACTCTGAACTCACGTGATAAAATACGGCATTTTGATTGGTTACTACTCGTGTTGTCATGACGCGAAAAACAATAGTAAACACTGAATATGTTAATGAACTGTCATATATGGAGCAATTGTCTTTCTGATTGGTTAACTTTACACGCCTCCTAAATGAATATAGTAGTCGTAGTAAATGATTCATTGATAACTCTGAAAGTGGGCGTGACCAGCTTTATTTTGACACCAAATTCAAGATGTTTCAAATAAAAATGGCCTCGCAAGACGAGGTTGAAATATCGGCAGTTTGATACTGATATGGTCTACGATAGATCAAAATTGACTGCCCCGCGTCATATGTCACGTGAGCCTATATTTGTTGAAAAATGAAAGAGATAGTGACACTTTTTAATCTTAAGTTAATACCAATATTACAAACACATCTCTATTTTTTTCATTGAATATTTATTTTACACTGCATTGATTTATTTTTGCAAAACCTTTGCTATTAGATCTTTAACAATCAATCATACTAGACTATACCTAATGTTTTGTTTGAAGTGTACAGTAATAATAAACTGCATAGGTAGGTAGTTCACGACCCTTCTATCTTCATGTAAATTAGTTAAAAAGTCTTGTCATTTTCTGTTTTCTCTTCATAAGCTTCGTGCCATTCTTAAGACTTATAATATTTACTTATATGACGTTACAAGTGTACGTATAATTTTTGACAGTTACAAAAATATGTTGATGTTTGTCTTTAGGCATTGTCATCATGTGTTTTACTTTGATCGTTATCTGTCGTTTATTTATGAACAATTAAAAACATAATTGTGATTGTGTTTAATATTCATAAGAAGATGTGCCTTATTAACATATTAGTGTGAGGTAGTCATCATTCTGTGTTGATATGTAGGTCAGAGATCAGTCATGTCCTTGGGTCATGCATCTGAACTTTGAGTCAACAACAGGCTGTGTTATACTACACATGTGTACTCAATATTCTTCAATATTAGTGCACAGTGCATAAGGTACTCAATCCTGATTTTTCCTGACTTGGTAAAAATATCTGAATTTTTTTTTTCATTTTGGCAGGGTTTAAACATACTTTTATCATGGCAGTATGTAATTAGCAGATTTTCTATAGGGTGGAGCACTTGGATGTTCTTATGCTGGAAGATACAGATGTACCTATATCTTCAATCATAAGAAACCCCTCATACCCAATACATTTTTTTTTGTTATGGTCTCCAACTATTTTGTGGATGGTATTCAGCAGTTGGTGTTCGGTGGATGGTATCTGTAACAAATGACAGGTGCTGACATTTTGCATTTTAATGCCTCGTCTGAAACTGTCATTCAACTCATTGTAGAAAAACTATCTTGTTGGAAATAAGAACATCTACCCTTTTAATAGTCTTGATTATTGCAGTCCTCTGAGAGAATCGGGGTGAACTATATCAAGGTTGAGCTGATGTTATGATATTGTATAAAAGATATGTATTAACAGGTACATGTTTAACGAGATATACAACATTATATAATACTACTATGGTATGCTGACCAGAGTTTTTTCTGTAGGTAAACCTAGGTTTTGTGAGCAACTTTGCTATTATTACAAAAATAGTAAAAGTACCATGTAAGTCCAGATTAGACACGGGTTACATGAAGCATTCACCAAAACATAACAGTTAAAATACACATGTGGCCTCAATGATGCACTTTAAAAAACTCAGGTTTTACAAAAAAGTTTTTCGCTGAAAATCAGGTATCCTACGAGATGTTATGATAGGTACTGGATGAATGAGTTGAGCATATAGAATTGTATATACTTATCTACGAGAAAGCATACTTCTTACATGGTAATTTTTTTCAATTAATACATGTGTTTACTAGACCGGGTTTCGTTTTATACCCAACTTGTTGCACCCATGTTTTCCTACATATTGCTCCATTTCTTCAAAGATGCCCCTTGTTTGTTCATCGCCCTCCACCCTCCTTCAAATATGGTCCATTTTACTTTATAGACTCTTCCATTCTTCTTAAATATAACCCCATTTGACTTGCTAAGTCAAATGGCCCCTCTTCATACATCCCTTGGCTGGAGAGAATAGATAAATAATTAAAGGGGGGCAGAAGCTAATTGGAAGACAAGGTATATGACTAAACATCTTAAGGGTCTCTGAAATATCTCTTTAAATACAGCTGTACAGTACATGTATTTGATTTTTTTATATACTGGGCCATAATTGTTTTCTTTGGCATATTGTAGACAATTTAAGATGCTGTGTTCCATTTTTAAAGTGAAATGTTTAATCTGTAGGATCAGGAAGATTATGTTTGGATTAATACATCTATAAGAAGGAAGTGGGACACCAAAGGTGGTGTACCACATCTTAATTTAATGACTTCTATCTTAACCCTTCATAACCTGGAGTCCTCCTTAAATTGTTTGATGGTGGCTGCAGCAGTGTGAGGGTTAATACCACACATGTCCAACCTGGAGGATATGAGGTAGACCTAGGAACCACATCAGATATAAAAAGTTGACATTGATCGTATAATGTTTCTTTACTGCTTAAGGGGTCTTGTAGATGTAACATGTTTTGAAATAGATTGGTTAATGGTACAGTATAAGATGTTAAAGGGTCTTGTTCATTTCACATTTGAAAGAGCTTCATCTATAGTAGTAGAAGTGATTACTCATAACTCTGGTCTGTGGGCATCATGGTTCTATTAATACTGGCTGAGAATTTGATATAGGGCAAAAAATGCTAACCCTAATCCCTCTATATATGTAGGTAACAGCATAGATCAATTATGGCTAGAATTCCTTGGTTCTATATATATATATTTGTTCTAAAAAAGCATGTCTTTGGTTTCTGTTACCAGAACAAGCAGCAGGTAAAAATATCTGTGATAGGTTTGAGGCTCGGAGGTCATAAGTTAGTGTAGATTATCAA